AGGGGGGCGGTGATGACATGCACGGGAGCGGCTTTGGAGGAGGCTATTACGGAGGCGAGGGCGGGCACTAGGGATAGTGCCATGCTTCAAGTGTGGGGGAGGAAGATGTATCTTGTGGTATGTACACTCCTTTATTTTTACCTTATACTAAGCATTATTTTCTTGTACAAGTTTAAAGAAAAAAATAAAAAAAAAATGTAATAAAAGAAATGAAATGCTAGTTAGGTTGAAAACCCAAAAGGGCAATCTAAGCAACAAGGGCTTACAAAAAAAAATGAGTGAGTGGTAAGAGAAGGAAAAGAAAAGAGATGCTAGGATGAAAACCTGAAAAGGCTCCTAGGCAAAATGAGAGATATGAGAGAATTTTTTTTTATCTTGCTGGACACTATCTCTTGAAGAAGAAGAAGAAGGAGAGAAGATGAGAAAAGGAAGAAATAAGAGGCATAGAAGACCGTTAAACCCAAGGAAATGTTGTTTTGTAACTTCATTCACTATACTTGGTGGTTTTAGTTTCTTATTTCTTCTTATCTATGAACTCATGGTTTTGTGATGGATATTATGTAAACATTTGGTTTTACTCGAGGTCGAGTAAATGAACTAAGCGTGGGGGAGTTGACATTCATGTAATTTCCATATTTAAATTTGTGCTTTTAATTAGTTTCGAGTGATTGTTACTTTGGAAATTACACACTTTTGGTGTAAATAGTTTAGTTTGTAAAATATTTGTAATATGTTTAGATTAGGTTTATTCCGAGCGCAAACAGGTCCAAGTACACTTTGGAGACCATTGGTGAACATCACAAGTGCAAGGAAGGTGCAAGAATGCAAGAAAAAATGGAAGATCTCGATTTTGGTCTGTACCCGGTCGGGTATGACCTATACCCGGTCGGGTACCCTTCTGAAATTTCGAATCAAATCAAATCCGGGAACAAGGCATCATGCGGGAAGATTTTAACACGTTCGGGTGACCGACAGACCCGATCGGGTATGACCCCATTTTCCAGCTTCGACGAAGCCACATCTTGTACCCGATCGAGTGGGCTGAAAACCCGATCGGGTACACGACCCTGCAGGCCTAAAAAGCCTATAAATACACCCCATTTCCTCCACAAGAAGACCACCAATTCCTATATACTTCTAAGCTCAGTCTAGACAAGTTCTTTCTTTATATTTTTATCATGTTTAGTCTCCAAATGAGGAGCTAAACTCTTCCATCTTGGTTTTGCTACTTTGAAGCTTAATGAATTGTAAGTTGTGAGTTATTTTCTTTGATCTTCTTCCTTGAATATTAATTAATTCTTATTCCTATTACATATTACTATTTTGAGCAATACTTAAAGGATCAACTAGTTTTGTTTCATATATTAATTAATACTAGAATCGGTCGATTAATACGCTTGTTATTAACTCGGTCCTTTCACGGTAGTAAACTTGGGTTGCTAATGCATGCGTCTCATGGTTAGTAAGCCAAGGGGAATTAATTATATTGATTAAACCGATAAACTGCTTGTGTTGAGGTTATCAATCTCAATCGTTTTCATCTTGATTTTATTGCTACTACCAAGTAAATATACGGCGCGTGTTCTATATTGACTCGGTAGTAAGTTTTATTAATGAACGTGTCTCGTTATTAATAACTACCCTCGATGAATTGGATATACTTCTCGATTGAGTATTCGAGAGGAAGATAGTTAAAGATATAACCGGGATCGACGAACATTTCATTAAGTGGATAAAAGCAAAGCCAAGCCTTCTTCTCATTAATTAAACTACATAACTCGTTCATCTTCGTGTTAAATATAATTTAAAGTTCATCAACCAAATATAAAACCCCCAAGTATTCCTTTCCCTGTGGATACGAACCTTACTTCAATATACTACGTATATTTGTGGTATTGATATTTATTTTGAGTGCACCTCACGACAAGTGCACGTTATTAGGTGTAGCTTCGGTTAGTGGCGGCGGGGGACAGTTCAGTGACCGCCGGCAGAGCTTCGACGGCTGGCGGCAGGTGGCAGGTGGTGGTAGTGGGCTGGGCACTCCAGAATCCTGCAAGGGTATTTTAGTTCAAACACATATAAATACTCCTGTTTAGAGAATTTATAGGTCATATTTTTGCATTGAGCCCATGTTTTATTCCAAAAATACTCCAAAAATTAGGAAATTCGTTAAAAAAACTTCTACTTTTCATTAAATTTGCAATACACATACAACCCCATTTTAAACTATGTGAGAAACATATTGTACCAATTCAATTACTTTAAAATGGAGGGTGTACAACTTTAAATCTATATACATAACCTTATCACTTTCCAAAGCTTTAGAGGTTATGTTTCCGTATAAATGATAAGAGGACACAAACCTAAACTATACAAAGTAAGTTTCAACCAAGGATTGATAGCTATGTAGCACTGTTACTTGACTATTTATATGCTACTGATATGCACTAATTAGTAGTGCATAAGTGTATGTTTTTATGTTTGATTTGTGTGTATTATTTATCGTTTTATTTAGTTTGTAAACATTTGTGTGATTTTAGTTGTAATTGTATTTTAATCTTCATTTATAAGTTGTAAAATAGATTTAGGATTTATGGTGTTGGAAAAGAGGACTTTGAAGTGAAGAAAAAGGAATTTTGACTGTCCAGGAGCAAATACCCGACCGGGCATAAGACGTCACCCGGTCGGGTCTGATTCAACAACCGAATGTGCCTGGAAAGTGCACTCACCCGGTCGGGTCCCCTACCCCACCCGGTCGGGTCAGACATGACCCGGGACCAAACGACGTGCAAAAGCATGAGAACATGGCGGATTATTTGATTTTGACATGCACCCGGTCGGGTGGGCACTTGACCCGGTCGGGTACCCGGCCCAAGGTGTTGGAAAACACCTATAAATAGCCTCATTTTCCTTCACTTTTAATCACTCCTTCTTCCATACTCTTAAGCTCAGTTTAGAATAGTATTTCTTTTATATTTTTTTAGCATGTTTAGTCTCCTAATGAGGAGCTAAACTTCCATTTCTTGGTTTTGCTCTTGAAGCTTGTTGATTATTAAAGTTGTGAGTTATTTTCTCACTTTCTCCTCTTGATTATTAATTCTTCCCTTAATCTCATTCTATATTAATGTTGGAGGGTGGCTAAGTGACGATTAGTTAACGTTCCGACATTGATTATTACTAGAAACGATCAACGAACCGATGGTTAAACGTTGATGGTTTCACAAGTAAGTAACTTCGGTTTATTAATGCACGGTCGTGGTTAATAAACTTAAGAGAGATTAATTTTGTTGGTTAAACCGAAACCGTTGTGTTGAGGTTATCAATCTTAATTGATTTCATCTAGGAGTTAAAGAGGTTAAATGCTACTATTATATCGGTATACGGCGTTGTTCTATATTTGATTAATAGTAAGGGTTATTAATGAACGGTCGTTGTTAATAACTACCCTCGATGAATTGGAGATACTCCGCGATTGAGTATTCGAGAGGGGATAAGTTATAGATATAACAATGATCGACTAAAATATATCAACAAGTGGAAAGTAGCAAGACCAAGTCCCCTTTATTCTTGAATTTAATCCCATATAACTCGTTCATCTTGGTGTTTAAGTTAATTAAATCAATCAACATTCAAAACCCCCCTTTATTTACTCCTTTCATTAAAAAGATAAATTATTCCTTTCCCTGTGGATACGAACTCTACTTCACCTATACTACGTATAAGTGCTAGTATCGATTTATTTTGAGTGCACTCACGACAAAGTGCACGTCAGCTACTCATATGATCCATATTGGCGTATCGAAAATGTCCCCATATCAGATACTCTAGGATATTTGTACCATACATTCTTGAGCTTTATCTGTAATTTTTTAAAAATTTCTGACTTTTATTATAATTATTTTAAAAATTCGGATACACATATCAACTTTTTTATATAAAAAGCACCCAAAAATTAAATAATAAAAGTCTTAAAAATATTTATTAGAACTTTTAGTTTTTTATTAGAGTATTGTTTTCTATCTTCATTAAAAATCTTTTATTCATGAACTTTAAGTACTTGCACTTTAAATTTCAAAACTATAGTTGTTTGACTTGTTTCTCATTTCAAATTAGTGACTCATTGACTATATTTATATTTCTGATGAACACATGTATATGAGATAAAGTGTGAATTTATTTCTAACTATCTTGATAATGTGAAATGTTTTGATGCCATGAATGGGCAAAGGATAATATATGTATGATATTATCAAAAAAACGTTGGATTTTTTAATATTTATAAACACACCCACATAATTTTTAATATTTATAAATACACCCCAAAATTTGAATATTCATTTATAAATATACACTCATTTCCGTATCCTTGTTGTATCTCCGTACTCGTTTCCACATTTCCGTGTTCCTGTATAGGTGCTACATAGATCGATAATGAATGATTTTGATGAATTTTCCTTTCCATATGATTAAGCTTGCATTCTAGGATCCTAAACAACTACGTAGTCCTACAATACTACGTAGTTAAATAACATTATTGTGACAAATATGAAACATTTCATAGGTGCAGTTTATTTAACCTGAAGAGAATAATAAAATTAGTCTTATTTTAAATTTGATATATACTAGAAAGTGGTGTCATTGAATGATTGAATTAGCATTCAATTTGCTCAATTGTTAGATTTCATACAACAATAATGAACATAATGTTACTCACCTTGAAAACACAACCTAGATTTATGCAGTTACGTTTTTACTAAAAAATTATTATAGAATAATAGAAACAGAAATGTTTGATAAATAACTCTAAAAATGGGCTACAACTTTGGAATTTTCATCAAAATGTACACATTTAGTAGTGGGAGCAGCAATACTAATAGTTGAGGGGTATGAACTGTTATATTTCATGGGCTCATTCAGATGATCAGATCTAGACCTCATCTCACCTTAGGATATATGGTTGCTTCGGTTCTTGTTATTCTTGTCATTAATAAATAAATTTGTTTTTTCCAAAAAAAAATTGCCATTGTCAACTGTCAAGTGTGTGTAACACTGGAAACCTCAGAGTTATTGATTTACAATTAGGTGGAACAGTTAGCATGAATAAAATATAAAAGCAGCAGTACTCATAATCTGTAACTTGCAAGGCTAGAAAAATTCACATTCCAAATAGGGCTTCAAGTACAAGAGACTCTTTCTGTGGTCGTATGAAAACAAACACAGACCTGATAATAAGTTACTGTACAGGGAATGAAGGGGTGTGATCTGCTAAGCTCGACGTGAGGGACTGCCCATCAAGTGTATTGTCGGGATGATCAGAGGTTTGCAGCAGAGTAGAGCAGACACCAATTCCACCAAGAATAACAACATACTTAGCCAAACAAAGAGAGTCGACTTCCAATACCAAATCACCCTTTTAAGCAGAGGAAGTTGAGACTCAAGAACCAGAGATGCAGCATACAGCTGAGGAATACCTCCCCCAGGGTGAAATTCAGCTCTTTGCTCTATCACTACTCTCACACAGGCAGTCGGCATATCACCTTCAGTGAAACCTCTGAACTCTACGGCCAAATCTTGAGATTCTGCCGTGTAGCCTGTGACTAGAGAGGCTACCTTGAAGAAAGTAGTGAGAAGGCGTATATGTTGGCTTTTGAAGGGAAGTATACACGGTTTCCTAGAGCTTGCACGTACCATGCCATTGGACGTTAGAAAATCAACCCTTACCTTAAAACATACATACATTTACATGAAATGATAAGTAAATACGGAGTAAATAAATAAATAAATAACACCCAAACATATAAATTCATTAATTAGTTAATATTTAACTTATCACTTAAAAAATAATAATAAATGAATAAATAAATAAATAAATAAATAAATAAATAAATAAGTAAATAAACAAACAAACAAAAGGAACCATTTACTAGTTAGTTGGCCCTGCACCATCCCGCCTATGCTCTACCGAAGCGCACCTAGTCCCGGTGCTAGGAGGGGATAGGGTGGGCTACGGCCCGATCCTCCAAAAACTAAGAGCCCATTTGTTTTAGATCCATTAGTTAAGAACCTTTTATAAAATTAAATTCCTTTAACAGTTCAAAAGTATGGAGGCCTGAAACCCGAACACAGTTTTGAGGCCCATGAGATGTTTAGCTTATTTTTTCCCTAGAATAAAAGACTGTTTCTAGACGACTAAAGAAGAAGGAACAAGCCTAACAGGGATTGATGATGCTAAGATTTGTTGCTAAGAGTGCAACTTTTTTTTGCATTACTATTCACTCCATATATTTACTAATATACTCACTAGGGGTATTTTGTATTTTGACATTATATTCTCTTAATATAAATATATTTGCAAGGGCCCTAATAGAGCAACTGATTTTATTATTTCACAATATTTAACGACATAAAAAATATTGATTTATTTAAAAACGCCTATAATTGGACATCTAACACACTAACAGTAAAACAATGCACACTTAAGAAAAAGAATAATTTCGTATTTCATGATAGAAATGCTTTTAAAATCTGCATTGATAAATGCCTAGGTGATGCGGAATCATATAAAAAACTGCTTATTAAAATGGGTTTAAATGTTATCAATACAAATTAGTGATAGAGTCGATAGTGCATATATGTCAATGAAAAATATGTGCACTGGTTACATGTATGAAAAATATTTATAAGTATATCTTTATATGTTTTATATTTATCAATTTTCCCCACATTTTATATCCTATATGTTTTGAAATCCCGTTTATCGCGTTTCGGTTAGCCGTTTCACGTTTTCTGTATCGCTTTTCCGTGCTACCTAGGATTAATTAGTAACCAGCAGAGCACTTTTTATGATCCAACTACCTGGCGATACGTGTGTTAAATACGAACTTTCTTTTATTTATGATAGAGAAAAAATTACAAAAGATTTAACTTTTTATATTCATTAATAAGCACAATCCAGGATGATAAATGTGATCACGAAAGAGGGAGAAGCGACTTAAAGCATATAACATCTGGAGTTCTGGATGGAGAGGTCTGGAGGGGAAAGCTCTGAAGGGATTAGTATGCACCTAAATATGTGTGTGAGTGTGTGTCGACTCCATAGAGATCAAAAGATTAACATAATATGTGATCTTAAACATTTGAATCACCTTTTATTCTTTTATTCCCCTCCAAAACATCTATTTAAAATGCCCGCGAACATATTTTCTAGTCTGAGAAAAGCATACCTGAAAAACTCCTAGGTTTCTGTTGTAATCTGACTCAGGAAGTGTCAATGTAACAGTGGCCTGCAACTTGTGATTAGGAGGGATATAATGCATCCCATCAACCATGCCACCATCCACATGGCATCCTGTGAGTGGCACAAATGCTACTGGGCTTTTCTGTGTATAATCAAAATTTAAATCCTCCACCATCTTCATCGGTTCTTCCACAAAATAACTTACCAACAAACCAGCCATTACAAAAGCCAACACCAACATTCCTACCAAAACAACAGCTACATATATTGACCACATGATCCCCCATCCACATCTCATCCCCAAGCTCCAAAGTGATCTTTGTTCTTTCAACCATTTCGACACCAAATTCAAAGCATTCCCACACACATGACTGAAATGTCTAGCACACTTTTTCAGTATATATGATTTCAAAGACGTTACAACACTAAAAGGATCCATCACAAACATATAGGCGGAGTAAATTGCTCTTATGGGATACAAGAAGATCTTAGTTGTGAAACTCAAAACAATTAAAAGAAAATTAATTTGGACTGCTATAGCCTTTATTATTAAATCAGAACAAAGTACCAGAATACTCGAATTGTCAGTTTGTCTTGTGTGTAAATCAAGTCTTGTTTGTCTATCCGCAATGAAGGAATTCTGGTTCCACTCGTTACCCAAGCCACTTTCTACTGTCCCCGAGCTTGAACTGAGTTCAACAGCATTGAAGCTTTCCAGCTTTTCGTTTCCGTTCATTTGACGCGATTCCAAATTCTCCTCATTCTCATTTTCCTCCATTTCATTTGAACATACTAAGTTTGTTTCTCTCAAATTCGAAACATTCTCCACACTTCCCAACAAGCTAGGGTCCGGGGAGTCGAATAGGGACGTACAGCGCTGTAGAGATCGCCGAAACCGTAGAGTGGTCGCCGGCGAATGGGACTTTTGATTCTCATTGTCCAGTTTAGGGTCCGGGTATGTTACTGAACCGTCAGGGTCCGTATCTGTATCCGAAAACACGTCGCGGCAATCGTCAAACGGGAATTCATCAGCAGCGTCGTGAAATTCCATCTCGCTATTGGAACTATTCGGCGTCGCCCTCTTTCCCATCAATTCAGTACGCAATCGGAGAAGCGTCTAATCGGAGAAGCGTCTAATTGTAAGCATATGTTGCACAGTATCGGTTAATGAAGCTTTTATGGAACTATTCGAGCTCGAGCTAGGTTTCGAACCTAACGAGTCGAGCTTAACGAGCTTTCGAACCCGAACTCGAGCTGAGTTTTAAGTTCGAAAAGTTAATCGAACCGAGCTCGAACATAGTAGTATTCGGCTCGGTTCGAACTCGAGCCTATCGAACACCCTAAAATTTTAAATATAATTTATATATATTTCAAAATTTAAATATAATTAGTATGAATTTATGAATTTAAGGGAAAATCGCACTTTTAGTCCCTGTAATAGTCACCATATTGAAATGTCAGACCCGTATTCCCAAGTTTGTAAATGTCACCCCTCAATTGTCCAAATCGTGGTAAATGTGGTCCTTTAGGGGTGAAATGTACAATGTGGGCGAGGAGTACATTTCACCGCTAAAAGGACCACATTTACATCAATTTGGACAATTGAGGGGTGACATTTACAAACTTGGGAATACAAGGCTGACATTTCAATATGGTGCCTATTTGAGGGACTGAAAGTGCGATTTTCCCTGAATTTAAATATGATTATTAACGAACCGAATATTTGTCGAATCATTCGAGCACAAGCCTATTAACGAGCATCGCCTAAAATTTTAAATCCAGGCATGCTTATCGAGCGCTCGGTTTGAACATCGAACGTATATCGAGCCGAACACGAGCCTCATTTGTAAAGCTCGCCGAGCTTCGAGCTCGAACACGAACACCCCTAATTCCTTAACGAGCCGAATTCGAGCTTTGGGTGTTCGGGCTCGGCTCGTTAACACCCCTAGGTATACGTGCAAATGACATTTTTTCCCCTCAAAACCAAGATATCATCAAGGGAGTGTATTGTATTAGCAAGTATTAGAAATTAGTGGCAAATTTTTAAAAGTTTATGAATTTTAAAAGTTTAGGTGTATTCAATATTGACTTTTAAAGTCTACAAAAGTCTAGATGTATTAGAACATCTCCAATGCTATAATGTGCACGGTGCACATGTGGCATGAGTGATAGCCACATAAATTTTGGCATATAAATTATCTCTCTTCTTATTTGAATGATTTTATACAATTTTGGTAAGTTTTTCCCTGCAATGTCAACAACAATGTCAACATCTAGACAGTCTCCTTGACATTGTGGAGAAAAACTTACCAAAACTGTATAAAATCATTCAAAGAAGGAGAGAAAGAATTTATTTACTATTATTTATGTGGCCATTTCTCATGCCACATGTGCACCGTGCACATTTTACCATTGGAGATGCTCTTAAATGTAGACTTTTAAAAGTCTATAAAAGTCCATGTGTATTCAAAGTTTCGTTCATTCTCATTGACTTCTAAAATTGTGGATTCTCGTGGACTTTTAACTAATTTTTAATACATAAATTCTCTCCAATTGTCTCCTCTCCTCACTAAAGATTTCCATGGACTTTTCTGATATCAGTTCTTCATCCTGTCCCCATGGCCCCATCCCTCCCCTCCCCTCCACCAACTCTCGATCATCTTTTTTAGTCAAGCCACCTCTTCCCCTTCGATCTTCCTTCTTCTTTAGCGTAGCTCGCCCCACCCATCTCCTTCCGTTCTTCTTCTTCTTCTTCTTCTTCTTCTTCTTCTTCAGCTTGCCCCACCCCAACCTCTTGATTCCTCCTCGATTCATTAATCTCATATCGATTCGATTCTAGAAGTTTTTAGAAGAATCGATAGTATTGCATGGATACAATTCTGGTACGTCATCAGTTAACCATTAAATATTTTAACTATTGCTTTCTTTCATCGTTAAATCGCTAACACATAAAACTATAATTTCAAATTAATAAATATATAACCATAAATAAGTAAACTAAATTTTACAATACAGAAATAAAAAGAAAAAAATTATTAAGAAGAAAAACTCGATTGCATCTATGTTTGCACCACTTGTAGCAATGAATGTAGCACTTGTATAACGATCAATGTTCTTACTCGTTTGTTTTATTTATTTATTTGTTTGCTTGTTTGTTTGTTTGCTTGCTTGTTTGTTTGTTTGTTTGTTTGTTTGTTTGTTTGTTTGTTTGTTTGTTTGTTTGTTTTTTGATGAATTGTTTGTTTGTTCGTTTCTTATCATACTCCAAATTATACAAAGGAAATTACTCACAGTAGGACTCAAACATAGCATCTTTCCTAAAGTATGATCTTATGTTTGATTTTCCTTAAATAGGACTAAATATTACATATTCACCTCTAATTTAATTAATTAATATAATTAATTGTCCCCAGTTCCCTTGCATAACCAAAGCCAATTTGTTGGTAGCGGATCAGCCCGATGACGATAGCGGGGAACTCCAGTGGCGGAGGCAGACAGGCAGAGCGGTAGCAGTTATATAGGTGAAAATTACGATGACCAGCAATGGCAGTCCGCATTTAAAAGTCTATGGACTTTTTGAAAGTCAATAATAAACTTATCCATTGATTTAAAAGTCCATATAATTCATTCATAAAAAAAGACTATGGATTTAAAAGTCCATTGATTTTTTAAAAAATCCATGGATTTAAAAAAGTCCACCACAATCCATATTCTGTACACCCCCCTAAATCAATAAATTGTTAGCCATTTGGCTAGAAATATAATCGAGAATGAAATCATAATCAATACACTTATCTGAGATAGTAACATGTGTCTGGGGTAAAGCATGAACAACATGATTCACAGACTTCTACAAAAAAAGATATCAAAATTACTCTTTGTCTCCAACAACATCCTAATGTCATCAATAATCAAATGAACATACAACGATCCCTCATTCTTCTTTAAATTCTGGACCACAGTAAGAGCATCGGTTTCAATCTCTACTTTGTGCCAACTTGCCTCCTATGTTCCCATAATAGCATCCCGAACCCCCATAGCTTCTTCTCTGCTGACTATTTCGCCCAGCTAGAGACACCACGAGCTTTGAAAAAGTTCCCTTCGTCATCTCTAGCCACACATCCCCAAACTCTAACTCCTCTGCCTTGGTTGACCGTTCCATCTACATTGATTTTTAAAAAACCTTGCTTAGGGTGTTGCCACTTCGACTCGCCATCCCTGCCCGCTCCCCTCACTGTCGGCCCCCTGCCCCTTCGTGAACTTCCCTCCATGCCGCCAACATGCTAGCTGCCACACGAATAATGTTGGCTGCCTCCTATATTTGATCCTTGCAGACTACACTGTTTCTTCTCTTCCAGATACTCCATAAAAGAGATATAAACCTGCTACGAGATTCTTTATCCGGGAGGCTGAGTTTTTGTCTAATCCATTGCTCGAAAGGTACCTGCATCACTTCGGTCGAGACCCCTACCAGCTGCCAAACCCCCTCCACCTTCGGACAGGCTCGGACCGCATAGTCCGTACTTTCCTCCATTAAGCAGCAAAGTTTACAACCCCCGTTAATAGGCACCCCTTTCCTTCTAAGGTTATCAACTGTTGGTAAAGTTTTATCCAAAACATGTCATGCAAAGTATTTAAATTTTGGCGAAACCCGTAGCTCCCACAATTTCCCCACCCGTTCCAGCTCCACGGTTGTAATCCTGCTCACCCATCCACCTGATTCCATCATTTCTATCATGCAAACTAATGGGAATACTCATAATTTTATCTCTATCAGCCTAATTAAAAATGTTATTAATTCTCGACTGATTCCATGTTTCCCTGTAATATCACACAAGGCTGCAACGTTCATGTTGTAGGGTGTGTTTCGGAAAATAAAGAAAATTAATTAAAAAATGACTAGAGAAAAACAAGAAAGGAGATGAAGCAAAATTAGTCAAAGCTCGTGCTACGCACGATGTCCTTAAAATGTATTTGTTGCCTCCCACGGTGCTAGGAGTGTTGCAACAATCATTTCCCAGGATACGATGACTACGAACTAATGTTTGAGCACACAAACAAAAGTTCCAGCGAACGAGAACACAGTATGAACACAGAGGGAATTTCGGAATGCTGGAGGTGTTTTTCTGAAGAAATACGTGAGCTAGTGTGTAAGAACGTATGTATCAACGTGTGTTGTTGCAAACCACCTGCGAGCCTTTATATAGAAGGATTTGTTGTGTGCAAATGGTGAATTAATGGACCTGAACATTGGACATCAATGACCAGTCTGTTGGGCATTGAATCGTCCATGAATTGTCCATTTAACGCTGCATTAAAAGATAAGAACGTTGGACATTTATTGTTGTAACGCTTCAGATGCGCGACAGAAGACCCCCCAACAGAAGACCCCTTCGAGGGGTTATGTCCGAAGCCAACAGAACACCCCTTCGAGGGGTTCTGTTCGAAGCCAACAGAACACCCCCTCGAGGGATTCTGTTCGACGCCACCAGAACACCATACCGAGGTGTTCTGGTCGAGGCCTTCTGTCCGGAGCACTTCTGCCACTGGGAAAAAAATAAGCGTTTCGGGAAGAAAACAAAAATTAACCGTATCTCTTGAGAGATAGATTTTTGGACGACATTCGTGTCCGCAGGTCGCCCGCGCACGCAAGTCGCGGTTTTTCTTCTCCGATTTCGGGATTTGATTTGCACCCCCCCTGCGCGCGTGGAGAGAGCCTTTACCCTTAGGAATCTTAACTCCTTAAGGGGGGGAGGGGGGTCCCTTTATAAAGGGTTGCAAATCCCTTGGTTTTTCCGGTGTGGGAAATAACACACTAGAAACCCATCATTTTCCCCAGTTTTTCCATTCTAACGGGTAAACTTCAAAAAGCGATTTCTCATTCACCCGTTATCCGTTTTGAGCGTACCATATATCGAATTGTAGCCCTTAACAAGGACAATCCGAAACCACTTTGACCCGACCCAAACCCCACTCAAAAAATTGCCCCAAAATTACCATTTAATGCAATTTTTCACACATTTTTCCAACACATGTCTCGTATCCCAATTGGCTGGCTAGATGTAATCCTCCACCTCATTCTGACCCTGGTAATCAAGAGTCCGCACAGACCTGAGCATCAGAATTATTAAGCATTAGAGAAGTTGTGAGTTGGACCAAGTATCAAGGGTGGGACTTCGTGGAAGTGGAATCAGATGCCTACTTGCTAT